TTTCTGGACATTTATGGTTTGATTTCTTTGTATGTATGGATCACTTGGGTTGTTACCAACATCTGGTGAAAATTTCATGTCATTAGCACCTCTAGTAATACATTTACTGAGAAAAATGGTGATGTGTTCAATACTTATTTTACCTGCAGTATAGTAGTGCTTTTTGTATTTGTTGTATTGCATTGTGTTTTGTGGACAGTTTTTGTATTTAGAATGAACCTTTTTGTTTGTTCTTCATCAGGCCTGGTTGGATCATCATTCCCGCTCGCTCAGTCTTTTTATTGATGGCAAGTTTGTCCGTCCAGCAGACAGACAGAACTGCCCCCTGACTGATTCTAAAGGTGGGAGTTGGATATCATCTTACACTTCTAATTTTGTAATATTTTAAGACAAACAGTGAAACTAACATTTTTTTTTCTGTTTACCAGGTGTCATGGTGTGCAGCACGGTATCTGCTGAAGATGGAGACATTTCTCAGTGTGCCTCATCTGCTGCGAGTGGCTACAAGTCGTGGAGCAGCCTAACCTGCTCCCAGAGATCCAAAGTCCTGCTCAGGTCTGATAAAACACGTCCCCAACATGTCCGGAGCCTCCGGAGCGCTGTGTTTTTGTCATGAATGATTTTGCTCTGTGTGTGCCTCGCAGGCTGGTGAGTGTTCTCGGGCTGCACGGTCAGTGTGTGTCGGAGCTGTGTGAGCTGTGTGAAGCCTCCTGCTCGCTCTCGTCCCTGATCAGACTGCTGCAGTACTACAGCAGCTGGGCTCAGCTCAGAGACACTCTCATCTCAAACTGGTCTCCTATTGGTGAGAAAATATCAGGAGCTTTCAGTGGGGATCGTTTGGACATTCTGAAGTGGGGTAGCAGGACCGTTAAGCTAACAGCTAGTCTGAGCTGACCGTGTCTAGACCTACATTCAAAATCTGGAAGTTGAAGCCAGAATGGGACTAACTTTTCTTGTAGACTTTTTTTTTTTTCAGTACCGTTTTTTAAGTCCTGCAGTTTAAGCAAACTTTAATACAGTATTTGAGCTTTTACATCACATTTCACATTACACAGATGTTTCGGCAGAAATATTGTGAACTGCTTCAGATTACACCAAAAGGGCTGCTATGGTTTGTGTTCGCAAAATAACCACACAATTCTGTTTTAATAATCATGTAATGTGAAAAATGACAGTGGTGTAAAGTGTTTTGTGTGAACTGCTGTAAAATTGAGAAAAATAGTGTTGGTAATTCAATTTTTTTATCTGCACTGATAGCTGTCCCACAGAACCCCACTTCAAATTTTTTTGAAAAATCAGTTTTAATGTAAAGTTTTTATTATCTGTGTCAAATTTCAGGAATTGTGTTTGTTTTCTAGGTGTGGTGGTTGTTGTTACCTCTGATGACTGCTCTCTTTATTCCCTGATGCTCAAAGTCCTGCCAGTGTTGGCCATGGGTAAAACACACATCTGTGTCTGTACCTCGGGTTTTTTACACCCTCAGTCTGTTCGGACACAAGGAATAAATAAAAGTAGAAATTTACACCCCTGAAAACCGCCCTCAGAAGGAGTTGGTACTTTCAAAACTACGTGGAGCTTTGTGCTGAGAAGCTCTAAAACTCTCTGAATGGAGACACTAAATCAATTATTTCTGATTTGATGAATGTCTCCAGTCATTTTTGTTTAATTTTCTCTACAGCTCTGAGCACCAAAGGAGAACCCCAGACTTTAGTACAAACCTTAGCTAAAAGAAAGGTTGAAACTGAAAGTTCAGGGTAAATAAATAGACTAGTATAACAGGGTTGGACAAATCCTATTGCCCAACTGCCCGGGGCAGGTAAACAATTTCTTTATTTTTTTTATAGGGCCGTTTATTAGAAATATTCTGAAAATAAATGAAGAAATATACCGGTAGCATTTTAAAACACATATAGCGAGAATAAATCCTCAAAATCCTCCTCCCCCTCCCGCTGTAGAAAAGTTATGTCGTGTGGCGGGATCCTTTCCTCCCTCCCTCCCCGCTGCACGTTGGTTGACAGCTACTTTTGAACCCTGTGCAGCTCCTCCTAGTTGTGGGATGCTGTCATTTATGGGTAAAATAATTCACATGCATTATGGGTACATTACCCATAATGCATGTGAATTATAGTCAATACTGCCATTAACTTAGCATGCACATATTTTAAAAGATTAATACAACTTTGAAGCTCTTGCAGGCCACTTAAAATGCAGGGGAGGGCCGCATTTGGCCCGCGTGCCTTGAATTTGACACGTGGCATAGACCAAACATAGCTTAACTTAGATTTTAGACATTTTGCCAGAGATTCAACCTTTGTCAGAGGTCACCACAAAGGAGATCTACTAGATTTTGTTCATCAGATCAGATTCAGATTTAAGCTAAATCAAAAACAAAAAAATAATTGTTTTTGTTTAAAACTAGGGCTGTCAAATGATTAATATTTTTAATCGGATTAATCCCAAAGTAGCTGTGAATTAATCATAATTAATCTTAAATTTAAAATACATTTCTATTGCATATTGATAAAATAAATTACTTGAGTTATTAATTAGTTTTTAATGTTTTTATTTAGAAAACAAAATTGATGCTTAGATGTGTTTTTTGTGTATAAAACAGGACCTAAAAAATGCTCCAAACATATTTGAGTCAGTCAAATTTTGTGCAGAGTAATGGTTAAATCAACAATTCAAGGATTTTCATTCCAAATGAAAGATAGATACTGAGGTCACAGTTGTCAGCAAAACATAAATAAATAAAAATAAGCCATAAGAAGACAAAAAGAAAAAAAACCTATACATAATGTGTTACACATGGAGTTTTTTAATTTCATTTATTTAACCTTTATTTATCCAGGTAAACTGTTTGAGAAACACTTCTCATTTACAAACATGACCTGGCATGCACTGAGTGCATTGCAATATATACAAACCTACATATTCAGTCATAGTAAAGTGACTGTAAATTTTAATCGCGATTAAAATTTTTAATCCATGCCCATGCAGCACTAAAATTAATCAGAGTTGACTCGATTAATTTCACAGCCCTATTTAAAACTAAATAGTGTAAATTTGGTCATAAATTAAAATTTCACTTGTTCATTTTTTCAGGGAACTCTGTGATTGTTGTTCCCGGTCGGCGTGCCGCCCCTCCATCCCTCCTCTTGGCGCAGCTTTTTACCACCGCTGGACTTCCTGCTGGGGCTCTTAATGTTTTAACAGGAAGTAACGTGACTCTGGGGGCCAAAGTGGCTCAGAACCCCAGCATCAGCCATGTGACTTACAGTGGCAACAAGCAGGTTTGTGGAGCGTTACTTCAAACACAAAAAATCAAAGAAAACTGATTTAAATTTAAGAAAGTTTGAATTATATGTACGATTTAAACCATTTTGTCCCATAAATGGCAGATTTTCTTTTGAACTTGGCTCAGCCAAAGTGAAWCAGGAAGTGACATCAAAGGGGAGCTCTTTGACAAAGAAAACTCTCTTGTCTTTGTTTACTGAAACAATATTTGAACTCTGAGACTTCTTTATGTCTCTCTGATAGAGTCAAAATAATCTAAAGAAACATCAGATTCTTCTCTACAGTCTGTATTGTTAGGTATTGTAGCAACGCTCTGTTCACATGCAGACATTCCCCTTTGACATCACTTCCTGTTACTTCACAGGCAAATATCTCAACAATTGTTCATCTCAGCGACATGAAATTCCTTTTACAATATTTTATCAATGTCCTCTTTCATATGTATTACAAGAATTTGACGTCACAGGCACTTTAACCTAATGTTGGTCCTAAAGCAAATTTTACAAAATACTATCAGTGTTTCTGTTCTCTTTCAGGATGGGGTGGTGCTGTGTAAAGCCACAGCAGAGACCGGAGTTCCTGTCTCTGTCTCCTCYTCTATCGGGACCACATGTCCTTTTATCATCTTTGAATCAGCTGACATCAACAGCGCTGTGGATGAAGTGATCCAGACTGCTTTTAAAAAGAAGAAAGAGGTGGGAGTAGGAAGTAGAGCTGCAGCATCTCTCCTGTCAGCAGCAAGCTCTTTAACAAACTTCTCTCTCTGTCCTCAGCTCCAGTGGCTGCTGTGTGTGCAGGAGAGCGTGGCAGAAAGTGTCGTTGCCCGTCTCAAGCTGCGTTTGGCAGGAATGAAATGTGTTGCTCTGTGCAGTGACGCAGACAGGACCCTGGTGGACGCTGCAGTACAGGAGGCTCAACAGCAGGGGGCAACGGTGAGCTTCAGAACTTCTAGCCTAAAATATGGACACAAATTAAACTCTGTAACATTTAAAGCAGGTTTATGAGAGAGAATACAGCCAGAAAGCTCTAACTCAGTGGTTCCCAAACTTTTTATCTTCTGACCCACAAACTATCCATGGCAAAAACTTGTGACCCCAAATATTACTGGTCTGAATACATGAACTCCGTTAATAACCCTAGCTTGTACACACATACACTCACCGGCCACTTTATTAGGTACACCTGTCCAACTGCTCGTTAACACTTAATTTCTAATCAGCCAATCACATGGCYGCAACTCAGTGCATTTAGGCATGTAGACATGGTCAAGACAATCTCCTGCAGTTCAAACCGAGCATCAGTATGGGGAAGAAAGGTGATTTGAGTTCCTTTGAACGTGGCATGGTTGTTGGTGCCAGAAGGGCTGGTCTGAGTATTTCAGAAACTGCTGATCTACTGGGATTTTCACGCACAACCATCTCTAGGGTTTACAGAGAATGGTTCGAAAAAGAAAAAACATCCAGTGAGCGGCAGTCCTGTGGGTGGAAATGCCTTGTTGATGCCAGAGGTCAGAGGAGAATGGGCAGACTGGTTTGAGCTGATAGAAAGGCAACAGTGACTCAAATAACCACAACCGAGGTAGGCAGAAGAGTATCTCTGAACACACAACATGTCGAACTTTGACGCAGATGGGCTTCAGCAGCAGAAGACCACACCGGGTGCCACTCCTTTCAGCTAAGAACAGGAAACTGAGGCTACAATTTGCACAAGCTCATCGAAATTGGACAAGAGAAGATTGGAAAAACGTTGCCTGGTCTGATGAGTCTCGATTTCTGCTGCGACATTCGGATGGTAGGGTCAGAATTTGGCATCAACAACATGAAAGCATGGATCCATCCTGCCTTGTATCAACGGTTCAGGCTGGTGGTGMTGGTGTCATGGTGTGGGGAATCTTTTCTTGGCACTCTTTGGGCCCCTTGGTACCAACTGAGCATCGTTGCAACGCCACAGCCTACCTGAGTCTTGTTGCTGACCATGTCCAACCCTTTATGACCACAATGTACCCAACATCTGATGGCTACTTTCAGCAGGATAATGRGCCATGTCATAAAGCTGGAATCATCTCAGACTGGTTTCTTGAACATGACAATGAGTTCACTGTACTCAAATGGCCTCCACAGTCACCAGATCTCAATCCAATAGAGCATCTTTGGGATGTGGTGGAACGGGAGATTCGCATCATGGATGTGCAGCCGACAAATCTGCGGCAACTGTGTGATGCCATCATGTCAATATGGACCAAAATCTCTGAGGAATGCTTCCAGCACCTTGTTGAATCTATGCCACGAAGAATTGAGGCAGTTCTGAAGGCAAAAGGGGGTCCAACCCGTTACTAGCGTGGTGTACCTAATAAAGTGGCCGGTGAGTGTATAAATACGTATTTATACTTATTTTGTGTTTTTGTATTAGTTATAGGGAAAATATTACATCAGCAATTATTTTATTACCCTTTAAATTGATTTCTGGAGATTATCCAAGGTGCTTCATGACCCATAATTGGGTCCCAAGCCCAACTTTGGGAACTAAAGTGCAGTGGTTCCCAAACCTTTCAGCTTTTGATCCACAAAATAACAGTAGCAGAGACCTGTGCCCCCAGTTATTTTTGGATGATAAACATTTGTATCAGGTCAACTAAAGACGGGCATAGTAACAATATTTTCATACTACATTTATCCATTTTAAATACACTAACCTCACTCCTTTGTAACAACTAAGGCAAAAATGTACTTAATTCAGAAAATATTTTCAGGACCCCACCTTGAAGTTTTGGGACCCCACTTTGGGTCCCGACCCCAACTTTGGGAAACACTGCTGTAACTGATGCAGCTTAATTTAAAGGCCCAGCTTTCTTTGAAGGAATGCATGTTGCCTACCACCTTACAATGTCCAACTTTTAGATGGGGCTAGACGTTTTYTCAAACCTTAAATGTAATAACTCTTAGCTACTACCACACCAAATTTTAACTCAGTGTTGGTATAATGGACTAAGTTGAAGGCATTTGTGTGTTTTCTTTGGTCAGTTGTTTGTAGTGGTCATCATCAGGTTTAAAGTACYTCATCCACTGAATAATTTCTGAGATTTTAAGTCACAACTACTGTTCTCTCAGGTCACTGTACAAAAAACAATTAATGTAAGGAAGCCAGCAGATTGCGTTGAATCACTTTGTCYCAGTCTCCCACCCTGAGCAGCACGTTGGCGACAGTGGAAAGGAAAAACTCCCTTTAACAGGAAGAAATGTGACTCGGGTCCGAAGTGGCTCAGAACCCCAGCGGCAGCCATATGACTTACGAGACATTCTTGCATTGTAAAGCCCGCCCCGGCTCCCTGGCCTTACTCCACTCCAGCCTGAGTTGTGTTTGCAATGAGCAGAGAGCCGCCTCGATGTGGGCGGGATCATAATATTAAACAAAATCTTATTTTGTTTTATTTGCGACAAAATGATAACGGACTACACCAAACTTTAAGAAAAAGTACTGAATATTGAACCGATCCAGCCATACGATGCTTAAGATGAGAGGGCAGGATGACAGAGAAGGGTAAGCTAATGTGAGCTGGTTGTTAGCTTGTTGTGGGAGGTAGCTCACTAATGTTGTGCTGCAGTCGATACAAACGATTTACATAAAGTTAACCTCATCTGCATGACATAACCCCTCCCAGTCAGTTAATATAATAATAATAATAATAATTAATATAAATAACAATATAACCAATCAACGAGCAGCAGTAGGTAGCTGATGTGTGTTTTCCTCTGGAAGAGGACCAAGAAAACACGTTATTAATAGAAATAATTACAACAAACATGTAGAGAGGAGTGAGTAAAGACAGAGTGAGTCAGTTTTATAAGTAAATACACTTTGTTCTCTTGTCTGCAGTTCATGCACATTTAATATGTGTCTTAATAGATTCAGTCTCACTCAGAGTGATACATTGAACCGAGTCATGTTTGCATGATTTCAGCGTTACTTGCAGGGATCATCAAAGGCTGTGAATTGTTTAAATACTGTCTTTAATTCTCAAAGCCTGTGCTTCATTTTCTGGTTGAATCCATAAAAAGTACCAAAGATAATGCAGTTCGACAGACATAAAATAATATTTTAGCACCAATAGGGAGATTCTCACAAGCCTGATTCACAAGACAGTTTTGTGAAATCGCTGCACAGATCTGTCCGGCTTTAAGCTCSTTCAGGTCATTCATGAATCACAGGAGAAGCCAGCCAGGTCTCGCTCACATGAACGCAGCAGTGCAGAACCAAAAGAGGCGTGGAGCAGAACTCTCCTCAGCTGCAGAGTATTTATTGTGTGACAGACGTTCGTCTCGTATCAAACAAAACAAACTTAATTAACTTACTTTAGTGATCCTGTGGTTCAATATTCTTTAAACTAACTACAAACATGCATATCAACCTCTTCAGATGTTTACCTGTATAATGAGCCTCAAAAATCTATAATTTTCACCAGGAAATGAGGAGGGGAGAACTTATTTCTAGTGACAGAACGGGCTGGCAGATGGCCATGTGATGTTATTTATTGTTTTTATAATGTCCTAGGCTCTGACACGTTAAATAACAAAGTTGCTGTCTTGTGTCAGCTTTAATATATTTCCTTGGTAAAATCTGTTGATTAATCCTGCGGTCGCTCACAGACATCTTCCTCTTATCAAACACAAAACAAAAAACTGAATCAGCTCATTTTAGCGATCCTGTGGTTCAGTATTTTTTAATATAACTACAAAGTTGTTGTTTAGCGTCATCTTTAATACTCCCTGTGTAATAAATCTCTTTTTTGATTATTCCTGCGGTCACTCAATGATGTCATCGACTCATTATTATTTTCTGCTCTTTCACACGTCGGTCAGCCCGCCTTGGGCCCGGCTCTGATGCCACCTCTGTTATCGGCTCAGAGGGGTGTCAGAGGCGGGCTCACTTCACCCCGCCCCCTTTCTGCCTGCGTGTTTTTTCTGAATGATCCAAGGAGGACAGAACACACGTCAGTCCCAGACTGAGCCGTCTTATGAATGAGGCTAGAGAGCTATAATCTGGTATAWATTATGTCCGTCCGTCCGTTTCTTCCGCTCATCCGGGGTCGGGTGACGGGGGTAACAAAAATMAAAAGAAACAATCTGATGTGCTTACAGGTTGAGTTATCTCGTTTCTTTCTTTTCAGGTGGTTCAGTCTTGCGCTGCTCCTCRTGGTGCCCAGTATCCTCCCACGGTTCTTTGTGGTGCGGCCCCCTCCTCGCCATTTGTGGTCAGCCCCTCTCCTGGACCTCTGTTGCCTCTCATGACTTTCAGAAGCAATGCAGAAGCTGTTGCCGTGGGTAAGGAAAGAGGCCAAAGTTAACTGTTATTCTATGCCCCCTTTCACYTTGAATGAGGACCACGCTGTAATTTAATTAATTTGTTTGTATCAGAGTCTTGAGTGGAGCATGATGGYGATTGGTTGCAGCCCATCCATGATGGGCCCATGTGGACTGGCATGGTCCTCAGATTGAAGGTTTTCTAAAGTTGTTGCAGTCTAGCCACGTTTTCATAGATAGTAGGTCATGGAGAGTGTAGTGAGGTCTTTTTTTTAATGTGAAAGGGGTCTAAATCAAAAGTAGTTAGCTATAGTTTCTGTGTTTAAACACACAATGATAAGTGTTTGTGTTTTTGTTCAGGAAACCACAGTCCGCATGGRCATGCAGCGTCCATCTGGACCGAAGATCTCACTCTGGCTCTGGAGACGGCTAAGAGGTAAACATCATAGCTTTTTTCTCTTCATGTYACTTTTCTGTCTCCTTTTAGTTCTATTTACTCATTACGTTTTGTTTGCTCCATGTACTAATGTTGCAGTTTGTTTAAAAAAAAACATACAAAGATTCATCGTAGTCGGTGTGTCGTTTCTTCCTCTCAGTCTGTCGGTTGGATCAGTGTGGGTGAATTCCAGCTCTGTGTTTGATCCCTGTCTTCCTGTGACTGGGCACAAAGACAGTGGCTCCTGCACTGATGGAGGACAGGAGGTACGTTAACYACCAAACCTGAATAGTGTGAAAACTGGTTCAGCATTATTATTTTCCTGTTCTCGTTTTTTTTACTATCATTTTTGTGATATAACTACTTCTGCACACTTACTGCTGTTTTAGCCATTTGCATATATGAAAAGTTTCAGCTGATTTGAGATAAATCTCCTGAGGTTTTTTTTTTTTTTTTTTTTTTTTGTAAATTCTTATATCAATACGTTGAGATTTGTTTGATTCTCTGAAAAACGTTGTGTTCTTTAAAAACTGCTTCATCATAGCCTTATGCTACGTTTATGTTTCGTCTGCTCTTTTGATAGTTGAATCTTCTGGACCATTTGATGCTTTTAGTTAGCATTTTATTACTTAGCTTTTAGCCTTTTGTTACTTAGAGCTTTTAATTAGACTTTTAGTATTTTAAGCAGGAATTTTACTACTCTAAGCATTTAAGTTAGCTTTTTATTAATTTTGGCTAGCCTTTTGCTGCTGTATTTTTACTTGTCCTGTACTTCTCATTAGGGTCTATACCACTTTCTGCAGTCGTCCTTTTCTTCCTCTTCTTGTCTTCGCTCCTCTCCTGTTTCAGTCGACTACTCAAAGTTTGGAACAGAAGCTGTCATTCCTGTTTCTTTGGACCCTACATGGTAGTATTTTATTGATCTTTTCAGTTTAAAGTATACATGATGTTATTGAGAGTTTAATGAAGATTTAAACCGGTTCTGTGTGGATTTTTTTTTTCCAGTTCTCCTCCATCCTACCTGCAGTTTGTTGGAGGCAAAGTGTGTAAATCAGTGTCAGGCTGCAGTGCGGCAGTGCAGGCACCAGGGGGCGGTATGTTGGCCATTTGTCCTGAAGGAAGTCGGAAAGATGTCCGCAATGCTGTGGAGGCTGCRATCAAAGTGCAGCCTGGGTGAGACCTGAGGCACACGAAGAGTTTTATAAATGCATGCARACAAACAGTATCTCTGTGGTATCAAAGTCCAGCATATCGAGCCACAAAACATTGATCTTTGTGAACATGTTCATGTGGAAAATATGGGATCTGTCCCACAAACGGACTTTAACAAGCTTCAAAACTAAAAAAGCTATTTTTAATTTACCAAGTGGTTTAAAAAAATAACAAGTAAAATCTAAAATTTTATTAGTATAAATGGCAATGTGACGTAAAGGTCACCGGACTATTAGATAGTCTGGATTTGTCAATAGCTGCACAGGAAAATTGGAACCTGATTGATAAAGATTGTTCTTCATCAATAAAGCTCACACTTAAAATAAAACAATTATGTTTTCCCTTTAAAGGGCAACGTTGGACGTTTTAGAACTAAAGTTTTGAAATAATAATAAGAATTAATATTATAGCTTTTGTAGATAGTTCTTTGAACATCCAACAGGATTTATGAGCTAACAGCTAAAACAACAATGGATTGCTACTGCTTTAAAGTGCCTGTGACGTCAAATTTTTGTAATACATATGAATGCTGTTTTGAAAAGATGACATTAATAAAATATTGTAAAATAATTTCATGTCGCTGAGATGAACAGTTGTTGAGATATTTGCCTGTAAAGTAACAGGAAGTGATGTCAAAGGGGAATGTCTGCATGTGAACAGTGTGTTGCTGCAACAGCTGATAACACAGACTGTAGAGAAGAATCTGATGTTTCTTAAGTTTATTTTGAGTCTCTATCAGAGAGAGATGACAAAGAGCCAGAGTCCAAATAATATTGTTTCAATAAACAAAGACAAGAGTTTTCTTTGTTAAACAGTTCCYCTTCCTGTTTCACTTTGGCTCAGCCAAGTTCAAAAGAAAATCTGCCAGTTATGGGACAAAATGGCTTAAATCGTGTGTATTATTCCAACTTTCTTAAATATAAAGATGTTTTCTTTTGACTTTTTGTATTTGAAGAATATGCATGTCACAGGCACTTTAAAACAACCCCAGTCCCCAAATAATTATAGTGGTTCATTCAGACATCATTTTATAAACCTTGACTCTTTCATCAACTTTGATGATAAACATGATTATTCGTATAGAGTTTTGTAAACATTTGCAAAAGCAAATAGCTTCAGCAGCAGTTAGCTGGAGCACATTTGTGCACCCTGAGGCACTTCCTGCAGAAATTCCAAAAACATTTTTGCTGGAGTAAATATGCTAAATTGCTGGCCATATAAAGATTTAACTATTAGTGTTTGCACAAATTGCTGTGGACATTTGAAGATCGAAGCTGTTTAATGACCCCACAATCTGCTTCGGAAGAGTTTTGTTCGTACTTTCTGTCCATCCTGTTCAAATTAAAACTGATTAAACTCTATTTCTCCAAACAACTCTCAGAGCTGTCTACAGCTGCTGTAGGTTATTAATTGTTTGCAACATTTTCCATAAAACCAGACATGAAATTACTGTAGAAACTATATATTTAAGTTGATTTGTCAATAATCTATTGTTACAAATATGACAATGAAAAGGGTTTTGATTTTGAGGCAGGTTTTACTAAACTACAATGTTCTGCTGCTTAAATTACAGTTTTCTCCTAGTTGTAATTTTTATTTTAGCTGAGTGAACATTTTTAAAGAGGTTTAAATGAGTTCAGTTTTCTGTCAGAACAAGTTGAGTGAATTTTACTGTGAAAATACAGCCCTGTAAAGATGTGTTMGCTGGCTCATAAATCTATTTAACTCCTTTATGTTGTGAAAGTCAATTTGGGTCAGCACATGACTTTTTTTTAATCAAAAACATTTTCAGCTGAGAATCAACTTTTTCATATAAAAAAGTAATTCAGGTTTTGAAACATTCAGAGAAAAACTTTTTTTTCCCAATAATCTTGTCTGTTTTGGGTCTGTTAATCACTGGTCAAAGTTTCATGTGAGCTTGATAAGAKGGGTTTTTGCTGAGTCCTACTGAGTGTGAGCACAGTACATGGATAATTATTAACAGAATATAATATASTGGAGTCTAATAAACAAACACCCTGTCAGAGGATGGATCAGCAACACTTTAAAGGTTTTTACAACCCTAACTTGAGACGTTGTGTAAAACATAAGTAAAAACAGAATACAGTGATTTGCAAATCCTTTCCAACCTGTATTCAATTTAATACACTACAGAGACAAGATATTTAATTTTTAAATAGATAAACTTTTTTTGCGAATATTCACTCATTTTGAATTTGATGCCTGCAACACGTTCTAAAACCACTGGAACAGGGTCATGTTTACCACTGTGTTACATCAGCTTTCCTTCTGACTCAGTAAGAGTTTAGGAACTGAGGACATTAATTGTTGAAGCTTTTTAAGTGGAAATCTCTCCTATTCTTGGTTGATGTACAACTTCATTTGCTCAACAGTCCGGRGTCTCTGTTGTCGTATTTTGTGCTTCATAATGCTCCACACATTTTCAATGGGAGACAGGCCTGTACTGCAGGCAGGCCYGTTTAGTACCCASACACTTTTACTACGAAGCCACGCTGTTGTAARGTGCAGAATGTAGCTCGGCATTTTCTTGCTGAAATCAGCAGGGCGTCCCTGAAAAAGATGTAGTTTGGATGGCAGCATATGTTGCTCCAAAACCTGTAGCTTTTAGCATCAATGATGTCTTCACAGATGTTCATGTATTAGTGCCATGGGCACTAATACACCCCCATACCAACAGAGAGGCTGGCTTTTGAACTTCCGATACCAATCGACTCGTCAGACCACAGGACACTTTTCCTTATTATGATCAGTCCATCTCAGATGAGCTCAGGTCCAGAGAAGTCAGCTGTGTTTCTGGGTGTTGTTTATATATGACTTTGGCTTTGCATGGTAGAGTTTTAACTTGTAGATGTAAAGATAAACTGTGTTGACTGACAATGATCAGATGTACTGAAGTGTTTCTGAGCCCATGTGGTAATATATGTTACAGAATGATATCCTTTTTTAATGCAATGCTGCCTGAGGGGTCGAAGATCACAGGATATCAGTGTTGGCTTTTGGCCTTGCTGCTTAGTTGCAGAGATGTGTCCAGAATCTCTGAATCTTTTGATGATATTAGTGAATGTAGATGATAAAATCAGGCATTGTAAGTTGAGAAAAGTTTTTAAACTGTTGGACTGTTTGCTCATGCAGTTCACAAAATGGTGAACCTCGCCCCATCCTCAACTTTCCTGGTCTTTTGTTGCCCTCGTTTCAGCTTTTTTGGAACATGTTGCAGATGTCAAACTCCAAATGACTAAACATCTCCAAACAAATAAACAAAAGTTTAACTGTTTGAACATTTAAAATCTTGTCTTGTAGCGTATTCAATCTAATATACCGTATTTATTCAAGTATAATACGTAAAATTAAATCCATAAAATCATCCATAAAGTTGGGGGGTAATACTATACTTGGATAAATATTTTTACTTATGTATTTTAACTGAAATATCGGCTTCATTCACAAAATGCCTGAGTCTGGAAATGACTCTGAGACCGCGTCGTAAAAAGCAGTTGAAACGAGCTCACCTGTGACACTCCTCCGTGCTTCAGAGCAAGATAGTAACAGATCCAAGCAGGCGACATGATGTGAAAAGGGTGGGGGGGGTCAGTCCTGCACCTTAGTAATGATAACGATCTAATGACATTTGCATGTAACTGGGCCACTCCTCCAACAAAAACAAACACGTTAGTCTGTAATGGCTGCCGTCTACCGGTGTTCTGAAAAGTTTGCATCCCTGAAAAAAAGTTTCCCCACCAGAGGGGGCGCTCGCTAGTAGGAAGTAATCTGCTTTTCCCCCACAAGATGGCCCAAATCTCATGTGAAGTCTCTGACTTTTGTGTTGGCGCTTCCTGGTGGACTATGTGTAAAATGTCAGAATTCAAATGATGCTGCTACAGCTGATATATATATTTGTTGTCAAAATACCTTTTTGTACAATATGTTGTTAAAATAAAATGAACAGTCCAATGATCATTTTACTGATATGTATAAAGACTGCAAAGGCTGAAAAATTTTGAAGTCTGTATGAAATTGGAGGTAGTTTGAGGATTAAATTTTTTATGCTTTTCAAGCTCAAAAAAGGGGGTTGTATTATACATGAGATCGTATTATACCCGAATAAGTACGGTAAGTTGTAATCATCATATCCTGTTTTTATTTATATATGTTTTTATGTCCCAACTACCTTGGACCTGGGGTTGTACTAACTTGAAAAACCAACAGCTCCATGTTTATTTTGACACCCCTCCCCCTTTTCTTTTAGCTGGATGAAGAAAAGTCCTTCTGCACGCGCTCAGTCCCTCTACTCTTTGGCTAAAAGTTTAGAGGCCAAGAAGGTGGAGATAGTAGCATCAGTCAGCACCCAGACTGGCGTCTCATTGGCCGAGGCTGAAGAGGAAGTGGAGCTGAGTGTTGCCAGGCTCAGAGTTTGGGCGGCTTACTGTGATAAAATGCAGGGAGGCTCACTGGTGAGGCCTTAAGTGACATTAGAATATACACTCACCGGCCACTTTATTAGGTACACCACGCTAGTAACGGTTTTGTGGTCATAAAGGGATGAACATGGTCAGCAACAATACTCAGGTAGGCTGTGGTGTTGCAACGATGCTCAATTGGTACCAAGGGGCCCAAAGAGTGCCAAGAAAAGATTCCCCACACCATGACACCACCACCAGCAGCCTGAACCGTTGATACAAGGCAGGATGGATCCATGCTTTCATGTTGTTGACACCAAATTCTGACCCCACCATCCGAATGTCGCAGCAGAAATCGAGACTCATCAGACCAGGCAACGTTTTTCCAATCTTCTCTTGTCCAATTTCGATGAGCTTGTGCAAATTGTAGCCTCAGTTTCCTGTTCTTAGCTGAAAGGAGTGGCACCCGGTGTGGTCTTCTGCTGCTGAAGCCCATCTGCCTCAAAGTTCGACGTACTGTGCGTTCAGAGATGCTCTTCTGCCTACCTCGGTTGTAACGGGTGGTTATTTGAGTCACTGTTGCCTTTCTATCAGCTCGAACCAGTCTGCCCATTCTCCCCTGACCTCTGGCATCAACAAGGCATTTCCGCCCACAGGACTGCCGCTCACTGGATGTTTTTTCTTTTTCGGACCATTCTCTGTAAACCCTAGAGATGGTTGTGCGTGAAAATCCCAGTAGATCAGCAGTTTCTGAAATACTCAGACCAGCCCTTTCTGGCACCAACAACCATGCCACGTTCAAAGGCACTCAAATCACCTTTCTTCCCCATACTGATGCTCGGTTTGAACTGCAGGAGATTGTCTTGACCATGTCTACATGCCTAAATGCACTGAGTTGCCGCCATGTGATTGGCTGATTAGAAATTAAGTGTTAACGAGCAGTTGGACAGGTGTACCTAATAAAGTGGCCGGTGAGTGTAAGTAAGGTTGTGATGATGGTATTCTGTTAATATTTGTCCCCCACCTCCTCCTCCTTCAGCCCATGCCACAGTCAGGCACTGCTCTCTCCTTCCCTGAGGCCCTGGGAGTCATTGGGGTGGTCCTGCCTGACAAAAATCCCCTGCTTTCCCTGGTAACACTTCTCGGGGCAGCCGTCGCTTCTGGGAACGCAGTCGTCATGATTCCTAGTAAAAAGTATCCCCTGCCGGCTTTGGCTTTTGCTCAAGTAAGTGCGATAACATCAGACAATTAAAACACTAAATGTCACTCAGGTTCTCTCACATTTAATCTAACAAAGATTTGTCCACAGGTTGACAGTATCATTTGAACAAATATTAGACTCAAGCATGTATATTTGTGTTTATGAACTGTATTTTCTAATTGTGTTTCCTGAAGTCATCAGCTCAAACAAAAAAAAGTGTTTATTTGATCACATTTGATATTTATAGTTTTCCTCTTCCTTCTTGCTCTCCTCAGGTGCTCCAGTCTTCAGACCTGCCTGCAGGTTTGGTAAACATCATTACAGGAAGTCGAGACCAGCTGACAGTGGCCCTTGCTAATCATAGTGTCATCAAGGCCATCTGGTACTGGGGCAGCGCTGAGGCGAGTACAACAAACTGAACTTAAAGAATAATATTATTAGTGACCTAACATCGGGGCTAAATAACTGGTTTTAAAAAAGAAAGTAAATCAGTTTTTCACCCTGTTGCTGCAGGGCTGTCAGTACCTCCAGTACACCTGCACCAGCCCACTAAAAACCCTGTGGCTCGTCTGTCAGGAGGATGAGGACAGGACGGAGTGGACCCAGTCTCATCCGTCTCTGCTGGAAGACGTGTGGAGGAAATCTGTTCAGTGGAAAAGTGTTTGGATTCCTACTGCATGAGGTGACAGAGCCAGGAAAGTAGTGACTGTGACCTGAAATCAATCAATTCAACTACAGTCACTGTTTGACAAAAACAGTACAGCATCGAAGAAAATAAAGAGTATAAGATTTAATTTTACACTAGGTAGGAATCAATACTTTAATAGTGCATAATATTATAAATAACATTGTTATTAACATTCTGTAAACATTGTCAAACTGTTTTTGGTACTTTTTTTATTTCTCTGCGCTAAAGATGGCCAGAGCTGTTAAATCTTCATACTGTGTCAAAACAGGAAGTGCAATTCAGACAGAACCACGAGTTTCATGTTTATGTGGAAGTAAAGTATCAGTGTTTCAGAAAGGAAAGAATTAAAAAAATAAAACTGGTGCTTTCTGTAAATCAAAGTTTCCCCTACTTTTAACAGAATGGTTGAGAGTTTTTAGTAGTTCACAAAGGAGAATTATCAAGAAAGGAGACGGTGATATGAAATGTCCATTAACTGGATCATTCCTTTTTGAAGGAAAAATAACTTGAGCCTTCACGTTCAAAAGCTATTGGCTTGTTTGGCTAAAACCAAGCTGTGTAAGTTAGTTTCCTACATCTTGTTTTTTTTTTTTTTTTTTTAACAACTTATCTTTGTTTGGTCTGCTGTAGCGTGAATGCCGTGCTACTTTCATTACTGTTGTTTGTGGTCTTTAATTTCAACCCTCAACTACCTTAAACAAGTGTTAACGGACCATAAAGCTGTGGTGCATTTTTATTGTTTTGGGGTGGGGTAGGGGGCTGTCGACAAAACCTAAATGTCCTCATCAGGTTTAACTGACCTCCAAACAGACACAGATAAGAGCCAACGTATGACCTTCATCAGGGAAATATAAACAAACTTGTCTGAGTTTTATCAGTGACTTGGCAAAAAAATGTTGTCAAGTCAGTCCACATTTCCTGCACTCTGTGTATCTTTTTTACTGGACAATAATATTGTACCTTGTTGCCTTCAGGGTTACCTTTTATGCAGAGCAAACATTCACCATAAAATGTCTAAGGTTATGTTTAAATTGTGAAATAATGTGTTAATTAAAATGTATCATTCCAGAAACTAGCAAAATGAGTTAATCTGTCTAAAGCCATAATTTAAAGTTGTCTTTATGAATATGAGCACCTGTTTTTTTTTTTTTCTTGATTAAAATATTCATACACCTATTTGTGGTGAAGTTTCATCTTTTATTACATGTTAGTGATTTATTTTTTTTCCATTTGGAGTCCTGGGTGGACAGAAGTCAGGTTTATTTACAGCTATATTCTCTTGATCTTATTAATTAAAAGCACATTAATACTGCAATAAAAAATAAGTCATTTGCCAGCTTGTTTGCAGTTTCTTTGCTAATTATTACTACATGCTACTGTGCAAGAGTAAAATGTGCAAAGCCAAGTTGAATAAATGAAAAGCACAATCCTGTTCTCTATAAGCAGAGATAAAATTCAGCATTAAAATAAAAAGCAGTAAATGTTAGTACTTTTATTTGTTTCTTAGTTCATGCTAACGTTTAAAAGCTGGGAGCAAAAATATTCAGAACTTATTTGAGATTATTTCTTGAAATTTGCTCCAAGGAAGCCCTGTTTTGTTACAAGGCCATTTTAAATTATTTGAAATGAAGTTCTCCTGGAAAAAGTAAGTTTTATTAACAAAATGTCAGCGATTTTAGAAAATATATTATGTACATTGAATTTGATCAAATATACAGCGTGTAAAATAAGTATTGAACACATAACCATTTTTCTCAGTAAATATATTACTAGAGGTGCTAATGACATGAAATTTTCACTTTTGGCCCATTCTTCCACACAAACAGTCTTTAAATCTTGAAG